GTCGTCCGTCAAACAGCAACAAACCTCTGTCAGCGGATCAGATTCTCGGCTCGTCTGGCCTCAGACAAACTTCCCCACCGGCCTCGTGTTTATTTTAAGCTTTTTCTCACGAGTGCAGGTTAACATCGCCGCAGCTGCTACTGTGCACTTTACTTTATTTTTTTACTTTATTTTCATGGCTTCTGTGCTTCAAAAAGAAGTCCAGCTGTATAAAAATAACTCACTGCTCACTTGATCATTAAAGGTGGACATTGCCACGCCCCCTAGTTATCAAACTTAATACACAGCGAGACCGTGGCTGTTTTTGTACCAGGCCGTAAACATGATTATTCCTGCTGTAAAGTTTTAACGAGGACAGACTCACTGCCGGAGCCTCAAGTGGACATTAGAGGAACTGCAGCTTTTGACACGCCTGCGTTGTCCCTTGCTTCAACATCAGCGTGACTTTTATTTTGAAACTTCCTTTCAATCAAGACCGGACTCAGTTATTCAGAGGTGCCTGTAACTTCTTTATTGCAATAATGTGAACAATGTTTTCTTCTTTGCAAACAGAGACAGTATAAAAGATGCCAAAGTGAAGCTAACACAAAGGTGCCTTCTTTTAACAGCCAGCAGGGGGCGACTCATCTGGTTAAACAGGCTTGCTGTATAAAAACGACCCTTGCTCTGCGAACACAGGAAAGTCTCTCTGAGAGCTCTCGTACCGAAACCTTCAGACGACAGAAAAACTTTGGTCCAAACTCTAAACACTGCAGTACTACTAGAGACTACGAGATACATGTGCGTGTATTTTAACTCATGTTAACTCTTATTTCCATTCATATAGATTCATGATGCCTGCACCGCTCCGAGAGATGCTTCACATTGCATCGTTCACCTGTACATTAACAAAGGCCTTCTGTTCTATTCATTTTGTGAATTTTGCTCATTTTAAGATTATCCGGGTTTGTTCACTGGCTAAGCACTGTTTTGTTTTTGGACTGCTGTTTGAGACACGTCTGCTGAGCTCTTCAGCTTTTGAAACTTAGACTCGTTTTTGTACTTGAACTTTTGTGTTTCCCAGCTCTGTGCCGAGTCCTCCCGTCTTTAGCCCAAGCCTGGTAAATATCCTGCAACCTTCAGCTGTTATTCAGGCACCGGTGGCTGCTCTCACTTCCCTCCATAAAAAAGCAGAGCTGAGTCTGTGCTTCGCCAACTGTCCCCTTAAAGGAGATTAGAGTTCTCGGAGCGGAAAAGAAAGTGTTGCTCATTTGTCTCCCTGCAGGATTTTCTGTCCCGTCGGTCCGCCGTCCTGCTGACTCTGCGGTAACGGCGTAAAGCTCCAGCTGATGATTCATGGATCGGATGACTCAGATCTTGTGAGTGAAGCTTCTCTGGGCCAAATCAAGCCGGTAGGATTCCCCCTGGATATTCCCTGCCGTCCTCGGTCTCACGCCTCCGGCTTTCCTGGATCTCACTGTTTACTCAGTCAGCTCTCACAGTGAAAGCTGAGCCGCGGCTCTGTGTGGATCTGCTCTGAAGGTTATCGGGAGGTCTGAAGGTAGTCAGACACCAAAACAAAGACACACAAAACTCTCATCACAGGAGTTTACCAATCCAGGAGCTGCTCTTAGCTACACCACCACCACATCAGCAGTCGAAACACTTAAACCTGCGAAGGTTCATCAGACATGTGACCATGGGCCTGTTCTGCTTCTCCTTGTTTCCTGTTATAAACATCTCCTGCTCATGTTCCACATGGCCAAAGTTTCTAATAAAGAGCTCAGACGGCTGTAAACAGTCAGTTTATCGCTGATGTCATATAGAGGTCACATCCCTAATATGGCCGGTGGGCACTGAAGCTCCACCCACCAAGCTTTTAGTTTATGAGGGGCATCCAATCAGAAGAGCATTACCTTAAAGACGAGCTAAAACTGCTCATTTGAGACAGAGGATGAACTGAGAGGACTGGTATATGATTCTATAAAGTAATGATTATTTTGATGCTGTCCTTGTGTTGTTCAGCATCCATCTTCTACCTTTAAGACTCCACATGGCTGAGTTATTTTAAAAAAAAAACACAATAAGTGTGTGTTTACTCAGGTAATTTCTGCTGTAAAGTTTGAACATTTTAAATATTTTTTACATGGGTGTGTATGAGGACGGACTCTAGTGGACATTATCAGGCTGCTGCTTTGATGGACAGATTTCAACAGCTGATTGTGAACAAACTAAAGAGCTTCAGAGCCTCTGCAGGCTCTGAAGCTTTGATGCGGCGTCACCATCGCGAGTCAGGCTTTGAATACGTCAGCTGACCTGATTTGCTAATAACCTTTTTAATTACATTTGTGACAACTGAATTCTTGGCATGATGCATCTTTGCCCAGGCGTTTCGTCAGCCATGTTGGCTCCACAAGCCCGCTCCCTGACCCTTGCTGCAGGTAACTGTGTTGTCTCTGTTGCCAGGGTGACGTTACTGATGAACGGTCCAAAAAGGGCAAATAATGACTCACCTGAAGCGTCACTTATTTCTCACCTTTAAATGTTCCTGTTAGTTTAACCGCTCCTGATTCCCGTTCAGCCAAGTGAATCAGCTGACAGCGCCTAACTGTTTCCACGTAACGTACAAGAACAGCAGCTCAACCGACAATAAGTTATATGAGCATTCAAGGAAGTAATCAAATAACCAGCACTCGGACATCACACCACAAAATCAGTAAAATAACTGCGACACAGATCCACTGTGATGGAGTCACACTTGAAACACTCCAAGAAATGCTAGCTAACTTTAGCGTAGAAATAGAGTTGGATGCTAAAGGCCTTTTCAGGCATGTAGCAAACATGTTTAGACAAACTTGAGCATGCCAGGTTTGTTTAGACAGTAAAGTAGCTTCTTGTATTTAGGTAGGCAAAGTGTGTCATTTAGACAGGGGTTGTGTCTTATTAGTGGGCGATAAAAAATCACACAAACAATGAAGCTAGCAATTAGCACAGCATATGCTACTGCCTGTGTTAAAGGGCCATAACACCACCAAACACCAGACGCTGTTCTCCCAGCACAACACAGACTCCAGCATAAACTGCACATGAGGACAGAAACTAAATCTCTCACAGGCTTCGACGGAAACAGAGAACATTAAGGTTAGTCGGCTAGCTTGGCTAACCATAACGTCATTGCTAGAAAATCATAGTTAACTTTTGTTTTAACTGGCTCATAACACAATTTTGTGACTATTTGTTTTTCATTCAATAATTTAAAGAAAATAAAATTGGTTACAGCGTCTGCTCGTTCAGATCCAGTTTGGTATTGGACCTGGTTTGACTTCACAGAACCGCCACAGAAGATGGGACTCTGTGCAGTCCTGTGGAAAACTAAGAACACCTTCACTGCTTCTATAGGAATTAAAACCACCTCGGGTGGATTTAGGTGTGATAACATAATTCCACAATCTTCCCACCAGTGGTCTCAGCAAAGTCACCCTATCAAACCCAAAAGCTCCATTTCGTACTATACAGGTCTCAGTTAGCATGTTAAAGGTTAAAGTTCATGACGGCACGGTTAGAGATAGAGCGAACAAATATGGCTCTTTTGTAAATCCATAGAGCACAAAACCAACATTTCAGGCACCTCACAGTCCCTAAGTGGACCATGAACTCCTCTGTATACCAGTGTGAGCCTGTCTGTCCCACAGCTAAAGCTCTGACCATGAACAGGACAATGGTCCAAGCACAGCAACAGATCTCCAACAGAACGGCTGAAAAAGAAAAGTGCTGCAGAGCTCAGAGAGCTATGCATGGATAAATGCTGCACATGTCAATGAACTGAAGCAACACTGTGAAGACGAGTGGACCAGAAGTCCTCAACCATAATGCAACAGACACATAGAGCCACACTTTACTTTTATATCAGGTTATTTGTGCTTAAGCAGGTTCTGTGGGCTCAGTTATTCACAGCACTGCAGACTTACAGGCTCCTGTATTTAGACTTGTGTGTGCTGCTGAAAGGGCAACAGGAAGAAAAAAACGAGTGCTAAGATGACATCACCTCGAGCAGAGAAGGCCGTGGACTAATTAAAGGGTGATTGGTTGGGGGATGGTGGGCTTATTATTAGCATATTAGCTGCAGTGTCATTACCGTTATTAACCCAGGTGTGTTTTCTCAATGACCAAATTCTCCATCCCGAACGGACGGATGGGTGGAACGGAGGTCGTACGATCCCGAGAGGATAAGTGGGAGAGAGCCCTGTCGCCATAGCAACAGAAACACAAAGAAGATGGGGATCAACTTCGAGTTCACGGCAGGACAGAAAAACATGTCGCCGTATGACCTCATCCTAACTCCTGTCACGAAACTGCACGCCAGCAGAGGAATGTGATTGGTTCTACTTCTGCAGCCACTTCCTGTCCAAGATGGCTTCTCTTTATTATTAATACTGTAAACATAACTGCAGCAGTCAGTGTGGCAGCAGCTTGTTTCTGTTACTCATCAAAGAGTCTGACAGAAGTTTGGGTTTTGTTGTTTTTTGTATCACTTTGTGTTTCTTTGTTGTTATTTGTGATGCAAAAGCACTACAAATTGTTTGGTTTCAAAACTATTTGTATCTTTTTTTCTTATTTTTGCATCTCTGTTGTTACTTTTTATTGTTATTTAGTAACTATTCATGTCTTTGACGTTTGTTGTCATTTTCTCTTTGTTTGCATCTTTGTGCTCATTTTGTTGTTGCCTTGCTACATCTTTTGACTTTGCTTTGTGTGTCTTGGTGGGAGTTTTGTCTCTTTTTGCCATTGTTTTGCAGCAGTGGTGAACTTTATGCACAGTTTCATTGGCGGCCCATTCTCGTGTTTGCTTTCTGTTTCTTGCACTTCCAAAGTCTGCCTCGGTGAACCTGCAGACCCACTCAGGTTGCAGACATTTAATGTTTCTCTGGGAGAGATCTGATGTCTCGTGTGGAGTGCGATCGGAGCACACGGATGGTGCAGTTGGAGAACAGAGACGAGTCTGAATGTGTTTATTTTAAAAACTGACCTTCAGGAGGAAACTGAGAGCGGGGAGGACGGAGGGAGGCGTGATTGCTCCCAGGAGCTTTCATTAACAGGTAATGGACCTAATGATGACATCTTACACACATGATGGTGGAAAAGAAGAACAGGAAGTGATGCCACTGGAGCAGAGGCTGCTGATTGGATAGGAGATTCCCAGGCAGCTGCAATAAAACTTGATGTGTGAAGCCAGAAGAAGACACAGAAACAGAGCGAGGCAACGCAGCAGAGATCAGCTCCACACTGAAGGTACAAACATGCATGTGTGTGTGTGTGAGAGAGAGACACAGGTGTGCACAGGTGCAAATTAATGCCACTTCCCAACATTTTCTATTTAAATTTAAATTCCTTTCAGAGTCGAAGTTTTCTGCTCGCAGTTTTCTGTGTGTGAGTTGTTTGCTGCTTCTTTTTGTCATCTTTGATTCTTTCTGCCAACTTTCTGTGAAACTGAAAACCTTGTGTGTGCATGATCTCATTTATGATTTCTGGCTAAGAAAACAGAGACTTGGACAGGTGAACATGAATTAAATATGTCTTTAAATCTTCACACGAGCAGCGTTTAGCACTGAAAATAAGACCTGGAGATGAACGAGAACTCTCTTCTCAGAGGAAGTCTAAAAAATGTGATGCTGATGTTCAGTCTGCTGCTGGGCTGCAAGAAGATTTTTGTGAATGGAAGGATTTGCAGTGTAAGAGTGTGTGTGTGTGTGTTTGTCCTCACACGTGCATGAATGAGAGAGCTGCAGCTCCTCAGCATCAGCAGCAGGTGTGAACAAGAGCGTGCACAAACCTTTGTGCATCGTCAGGAATGTATGTGAGTGACGCAACACGACAACAAGTGTTTGTTTCTGCGTGTCTGCTTGCAGGGGACACTGTGTGTGAGTGTGTGTGCAGGAGTGTCAGTGAGTGTGCATGTGACGGTCAAAAAGGCGTTTATTTGCAGGGATGGAAAATGCTAAAATTAGCCGATGTTGCTGGACAATACACTTACAGCCATCAGCCGAGCTAAAAGTGCCCCCCTCCTCATGTGTGTGTATTTAAAACCATTGTTGTGAGGACGCTTCGGTTCCTCTGAGAGGTCAGACCCGGTTTGGGGGGCCTGAAACTGTCAGACTGAGCTCTTTCTGATGATGTCACAGAGCCGTCATTAACGTCTTTGTGAAAAACCACCCTCTGTAAACAAAAGATGGACATGTGCACATGACATCACTCACGCTCAAATGTGGAGGAGAATGTTTCGATCACGTTAACGCTGCAGCTGAGCTGGTTTTAAATAAATAAATAAATAAATTTTTATTTATATAGCACCTTTCAAGACAGAATCACAAAGTGCTGCACATAAGATTACAAGTCATAAAAAGATTTAAAAAGAGAAAATAAAACAGGCAAAAAATTAACCAAAAGCAGTTTTAAAAAGGTGAGTTTTGAGTTGTTTTTTAAAAACAGCTGCTGAGTCCACAGTTCTTAATGTTTGTGGGAGAGGTCCACAGTCTGGGGGCCACAGTGGCAAAAGCTCTGTCACCCTGAGTCCTCCTCTTAGTATTTTTAAAGCAAGTAAGCCCTGATCAGATGACCTCAAAGACCTGCTAGGGACATCGGGCTGTAGCAGATCAAAGATGTAGGCAGGTGCCAGTCCGTGCACAGCTCTGTAGGTCAAGACCAGGATCTTAAAATTGACTCTAAATTCAACAGGAAGCCAGTGTAGCTGAGATAACAACAGTGTCACATGTGAGTACTTGCAGGATTTTGTCAAAAGCCGCGCTGCAGCGTTTTGCACAACCTGCAGACGATCCAGAGAACTTTTGCTTAGACACATAAACAGCGAATTACAATAATCCAAGCATGACGACATAAATGCACGTATAGCAATCTCCAGTTCCGAGCGAGATAAAATCGGCCTCAGCTTAGCCACATTTCTGAAATGATAAAAACAAGACCGAACCAGAGATTTCAACACCTAAATTCCTGATAGAGGATTTAACATAAAGTGAGAGAGGACCAAGGGCTTTCACTATCTGCGATAGAAACCTATGTACAGGCTATGAACAGGATATAAATATGAAAACTATACAGAAGATGGATGGAGATAAGAGGAGAACCACTCCAAGGCAGTTCCAGATACACCAACCCAATTTTTCAGCCTTTCAATGAGGATGTGATGGTCAACTGTGTCGAAAGCTGATGTGAGGTCCAACATGAGTAGAACAGAGCATTTTCCTGCATCATTATCCATCAAGATATCGCTTGAGACCCTAAGAAGAGCTGTCTCCGTGGAGTGAAATCGACGAAAACCGGACTGAAACTTATCGTAAATGCCATGTTTATCAGGAGCTGCCATAAGTTGCTTAGCCACTCATTACATGCTTATGCAGAAGAGAAAAGGTAAAACTGTAAGTTAGATAGTAATGTAATTACTCTGTGTTTTTGAGGTCCTTTATGCCAGTTCATTGAAGCATTACATTTACCTGACTGATCGTTTCAGATGCAGTTCTGCTTCTGTTTGCTGCTCCCCGGCCTCCTGTCCTTCACTCTGCTCCGCTGCAGCGTCGACGGCCTCAGAGTCCAACCGCAACCTGCTCGGGTCAGTGTGCGTGCACACACACACACACACACACACACACACACACACACACACACACACACACACACACACACAAGCCCTCTCATTTGACTCCTAAAACCCATTTTCAGCAGCCCTGTACAAAAAGCCCTCACAGTGCTCTAATGTCCCCGTAATGCATAAACGTCATCACAGTTCATAGTTCGCACTGATCCACTCACACGCGTGCATGTCTTTCTATCTTTGTGAGGACCAGACGTTCGTGTTTCACCAGTGGGAAAAGGACATTTACTTTCTTTCAAATACTTCCATTCTGTGCGCTTTAATGTAACCTGTGAGGAAGTACTTTTACATCATGTACTTCAGGTAAACTTTATAAGTACTTTTATTAGGCAGGATCCCGTCACACCATCACGAGAGCCAAAACAAGCAGCTCCTCCCTCGAGGGCTCGGTGGTGATATCAGATGGCGTGAGGCGGCGGGGAGGGAAAGCCGAAACGTTTTTCTGTTTAGTCTGGATGACATGAGATCTGTCGGAGTCATCTGAGGCAGCAGGCGGACAGGAAGTGAGACACCGCTCGCTGCCGGGGCCGTGGCGTGAGAGACAGGCTTCAGTGTGGAGGCGTAACATACAAAAACACAGTTCAGTGTTTTCCATACGGAGACTCCCTCATTGAAAATAAAGATGGAGGCGGCGTCGGAGGCTTTTCACAGCATCCCCTTGATTTACGTTTTTATCAGCAGACCAAAGTTCCCAGTAATCAGGAGGCATACGGGTTCACGTGTTAAAGGACAGGAAGTCCTTAAAACTGGACAGGAAGCACTGGATCAGACTCACACTCCTTTCCTTGGATATCATGTACAAAACCTTCAGCTCTAAGCCTTATCCCAGGTAATTTCACACATCCTCTCATACTCGCCTCATTTTCAGTAGATAAACTTGCCTTTATCTGATCCAGCAGGTAGACCAGCCCATTTTGAGATTTCATGCAGCCCCTCAGTCCCGCCCTGTAGGTGTGAAGGTGGGGGAGGAGCTGACGGCAAAACTGCTCCAATCGGATCACCTGATGAGGATGGAAAATGATGTCATGGAGCCAAAGAGGAAGAGGAGCTTTCCCATCAACAACGTACCGCTGGACCGCCTGTCCATCAGCTCCATGGAAACGAAGCAGCAAGGGTCAGACAAGCAGAGGTAGTCACCTGTGAGAATACCTGAGAACACCTGAGACGCAGGGATGAGTCTAACGCCTCCATGTTCTTCTGTCTGCAGTAAGGTGGTGGAGTCGCCACGGCGACGACTCAATCCACCGCCCATTGACAGAATCGGGATGGGTCGTCTGCCAAACGGCAGAGGGTAGGCCACATCCCCTCCGTCTGAAAGCCCACCCTCTCTCCACAGCGCTCTCACTGGGCAGGTGCAGAACTGCATGTGACTCATTTTCATAAAAGTATCAGTAAAAACACTAAAATGGTCATTTATCTCTACAGATGCATGAAACCGCCAATCACCTGCTGAACCACGCCCACCCTCACTTCACCTGGACACGCCCACCTGACACCCTCACTTCACCTGGACAGCCCAACACAAAGCATGACTGTTCAATGATGGTGCGTTCAAATGCAGCTCCGTAAAGTCGGCACACATAGAGAGGAAGTGATTTCAACAACACCTGCGATTTGCTTCCATGGCAACTCGTTTTAACAAGCATTTTATTTACCTGTAAAACTTACAGGTAAATAAAACTTTTTTAAAATACTGAATTTAATCAAGGTGAAATCTGTAATGTGAGCAAATCTCGAATTAGCAGCACCAACAAATATCCTGACGTGTGAGATTAAATATACTTATTAGTTTCCACCAATGAGAAGCTTTGATTTCAGATTTATTAAGAAATAAATATGTTACAACTTCAAAATTTGTATTTGGATAAAATCAGAGCCTGATCCCAGAAAGATCAAATCATCAGAATCGAGCAACTTTGACTATAATAAGAATAATTTGGATGTTTTGAGTTTTTTCATTTATAATTTTTTCATCTTTTTGATTCTTTGCATTTAATATATAATTAAAAAAATTAAAGGTTAGAGTTTGAACATTTTAACCTCATTAGGATTAGTGTTAGGGAACAATAATGCTGCAGTTTTCCGAGTGTCACCTGAATGCACCATCGCCGGCTCCTGCTGTTGGGACCCTGACTGGAGGCGTTGTTGCCTCGACTGCCCTCGCAAACGTCCAACACCAATCGAGTTTCGTCCTCGCACGTTTGTCTCAGAGTTGTGCCGCAGGACTGTTTCCACAGCAACGGCACATTTCTACTGCGACCGTAAACAGTGGACAAAGCTACTGTTACGTCATCTCAAAGTCATGAGATTAGCATTTTCATCATCAACACCTTAGTCGCAAAGCAGACTTCCTGTTCAATATGACCCAAGATGAGTGACTGAGTCCATCAGCAGCAAAGTGTTTACAGAGGTCAGAGGTCAAGCTTCTACAGCACTGGAAGTCTTTTTGCAACTGCAGCAGTCGCCACCTGGTGGCTTTTTGATAGAATGCAGGTTTAACTCTCCTGGATTAGCTTTATTTTCCTCACCAGGAAACTACGTCCATGTTTTATACCATCTATGACTGAGAAAAAAAATAAAATAATAGTCCAAAAACAGGTTTAAGCGTCCGAGTGGCGCTGCAGTGGAAACCGTCCTGCTCACTGATTCTGTTCTGATGTGCTTCTTCCTGCCCGAGTTTAACTGTGCTTAATAAAAAGAAAATGACAATGAAGTTCTGAGTGTGACTGATTTTTTCTCTTTTTCAACCCCTTGAGGATTTTAGATCATGTGCTAAAGGCTACAGTTCCACTAATGTCCACTAGAGGCTCCACCAGTAAGTCCCTCCCCATGCTCCCAGAAATAAACATGCGTACAGCCAGGTGAGTTTTTGTTGAGTCTTTATTAAGAAAAGATCATGTGATCCGAAACAGTGCACACAGAACGTCTGGTTCACACAATCCACGAATGATCCGGATCAATCAGAGTCCCGGCATTTCCTGTGTGAACTCATCCACTGAGGACTTCTGTACAGCTGCTATGGGAGCAGAGAAGGGAGATAATGGACCAGACTATCAGCAAAATACAAACACCTTCACATTCAGAGACGGAGAGCGCAGACGAGACTTCACCCTCAAATCCAAACCAGAGAACTTGAATGTACTCTGGACAAGAAACTCCAAAATGATCCTCTGATTACACAACACGTTCATCTTTAACCCAGCAACTGTCAGCATGGCAGTTTACAAAATATATTAAAAAAAAGAAAGAAAGAAAGAAAACAAGCTAACTACTAATACAAGCTAATACCACAGAGCAATTTAGTCTTTAAATGTAGGCAAATGGCTTGAAGATTACATAAGAATACAGATGTTTAGGACAATGCTAGCTCACAGCTAACATTAGCTATTGTTAAGAACACAGCCAGTTAAATCAGATGACATTATGCTAATGTTAGCCAAAAATGCTCAAACGCTTAAAATCAACATTTTATCTGCAATGCTACCTTCAAAAATCAGTGCCTTTGTTAAATTAGCTTTCCCTAAGGTCAGTGTTATCATGCTAACTTCCAAAACTGGGCTAAGAGATAAATATAAATAAAATTAGCTTCACCTCCAAACCAGCTAAGATAATAACAGTGTAATTTGCTGACAGCTAAAAATAGCTGTCACCTCTAAGGTGAAGCTAACATTAGCTAATATGATAGCATTTGTTTAATTAATTTGTTTTTTCTGATGTAGCTCAATGCTAGCTACCAAAACAGCCAGTTAACAAAGCTAAAATGACTTTGATGTTAGTTTCACTTTGAAGTTATCTATGTTAACCATTCCTTAGAACTATTAAGGTTTATAGCATTAGCTTAAATTACTGATGTCTGCATTATTGATAGCTAGAAACTATTATGGTTTACTTTAAAACATGTGATCACTAACTCCGCCCAATGAACCGTGCATCACCACCAATTTAAAGGCGAACAACGATGTTCTACTCAAAAGAACACAAGAAAGTAAAGTGACAGGGCTGATAATAATATGTGGCCATAGTTCAATATTCACTGTTAGCATATAGATAAACATGAATGTTGGCTTAGAAGGCTTACAGACCTTAATAGTTTTGACATAAGGCTAACATAGCTAGCTAATATAAGCTATTGCTGCACTTTTTTTTTTCAAGACAAAGCTAATGTAGATTGCTAACAATAACATCATAATTTTTGTTGTGCTAGCTTTACAGCCAACTCACTCTGAGCCGAGGTAAAGCTAAAACAGTAGGCTATTTTTACAGATTTTATTAGCTCCGTAGCATAGCAAATGTAGATGACTGCTAACATGACTCAGCTTTTGATACAACATCATCATAAATAACAGCTTCATCTTAAAGAAATACAAACACTCGCTAACATTTTAGACTTTGAGATAAAAATGCTGCCAATAATAAACAACAACAAAATAAAAAAAAGAAAAGAAAAGAAAATACTATGTGATGCCAGTATTTGTTAACACTGCGACTATCGCTGATTTTCTGGTCAAGCTAATCAAGCTAACTGCTAACACAAGTTGAACAATAAAGCAAATAATTAAACTGTTAGCATTAGGAAACGTTATTTTTGGATCATTTTGGAGTCTTTCATGCATTTTGTTCAGAGGACAGACAAGTTTACAGCAGATAACACATTTGGACTGAAGCCAACACGGTCTGACAACAGCCCCTTTTTTCAGTAAGGCAGAGCTGGACCTGAGGAGGGCAAAGCTGCGGGTTTGTTCAGAAACAAAACAATAAAAAGTAAAAACGATAAATCCTACTGAGTTTAGAGCAGAAAAAAAATGAATCAGAGTGGCATTCGATTGCCTTCCACGCTGATTTTAACAGCGTGACCCGTCTTCGTCAGGCGCCGGATGTCAGCAAATCTACGCATCTGTTTATCAACACGGGACAAACTCTTCCTCACCGGACCCTGGAGGCAGACAGACACACAGAACAGGAAGTTACAAGATTTACATCTTGTAATCACACACTGAGGTAACAACACAAAGAGAACCGGTTTGTTTCGCACACTTCACTGCTCATGCAGGAAGATGTTTCACAAACACCTCGTTCAGAGCCATCAGATGGGAAGACTGTTCCTAAAGACCATTTACAGTTCAAAATAAGCTTTATTTGTCTCATTCTGCCCCCTCGCTCTGTGTGAAACAAGCTGCTTTAACTCCCCTCCTCCCTGAACATCTATTTGCTTCTGATTGGACAGCTTCTGGAAGCCTGCTGCTGGACGTGTGGCTGATTCCATATCAAAGTGAAAACATTTCTTCCTCCGTGTCAGCTGACTCATTTCTACAGTAAATGTATTTTATTTAATGAAGCCATGCAAATTACAGGTACACTGTCCCACACACTGCACACCTTCTCACCTGTGGAACGTTACTTCCCGTCTCTTAGTGATTATCTCTCTCTAGTGCATGAGTTTGGTGTTTATTAGGCTCAGAGGTGCTCGACGGCTGCAGCAGAGATGTTCATGTGTTCATACAGCAGGAAGGAAAATGATTCAACCCCGGGCACTGCGTATGAAGTCATATGACCTCTGAGTACATTAAGGTTTTGTCCGTTGGTTATGACACGATCAGAAGGTTTATCAGCGATTGGTCTGACGTTAGAGGTCTGAATGACTGAAGTGTGATCGATCGTGTGCTCTTCGCTGTGTTCAGTGAACTCTGTTTGGGGGTTGGATAACTTTGCCTCCACTGTACGTCTGCACACTGCCGGTGAGTCAGGCTCTTCACACCATGCAGACAGACTTACTGCCCCCTGCAGGGGAGCAGGGGAGCTACAGGGGCATTCTGTTTCCCTCTATGCTGATCTTCACAGCTCCCTGCGGCCGCCCCAATTTTCTCTGCTCGGCGAAACGCCGTTTGTGCTTCTCCAGCAGGCTGATGGCCTTCTTACAGCCGCTCTACAGAGGACCAATCACAGCTCAGCTCCTGACCTGACAGCAGGTAAACTCCTCTTTCAGAGCTTTACAATCAAATAGAAGCAGAAAATAACCCGATGTCTGTTCCAGCACAAAAGTGTTGAAGTGTTTGTTTCAACTTTATTTAAACTTCAGAAAACTGACTGTTTATATAAAAGTTCTTTATTGTTATTCGTATTGTTTTTTCTTTAAAAACGCGTTTGCTCTTAGAGAGGTTTAAAATATATTTGTTTAATTTTGTATTTGTGATTCATTTTGTAAATCGTGAGTAAATAATTTGTTTGACTCAATTACGAAAAAACTGAAACCAAATGTTAAACTCTGGATATTTCATAGGACTGTGCCTAAAGGGGGCGCTCTGCTGTTTAGTTGAAGTGTAGCCACGCCCTGAAGCACACGCCATCGGCCCGTGTGACCACTCACCCTGCTGGAGTCCCCCTCCACGTTCCATTTGGGCCGAACCACGTAGTCTTTGTTCGAGGGCATCGGGACTCGAGCCCGGGCGCAGAACCCGGGGTCTCCGGGCCGCAGAGCTCTGTTGGGAGCAGGCGTTCAGGTTAATGAGGGTGGAATTTAAACACGGCACAAAATTCCAGACGATAGAGGAGCAAGTTATGACAAATCCCGCCCCCCGACCCCAGATGTCTGAGAACTTACTTCTCCTCTCCGGTCAGCTGCTTCTCCAGGTCTCTGCGAGGCGTCTGACCTCCAGAACTACAAACAGAAGAAGAAGACACGAATTCAACTTCGAGTGTGAAGTAGCTCCGCCGCACCGAGGCGCCTCGCAGGTTTCTGAGTGATGTTCTTCACCGGCTGAGCCTCCATGCTGTTAGCAGCACGTCACTCCGAACGGGTTAGTCGGCGCCAAAACCTCCCGCACGGAACAAACTCAGCCCTGCCCGAGCTCCACATCGTTAGGGCAGTAAAACACACACGGCTAACACTGCCGTTACAGAAACAGGCTCCAGTCTCTGCTCTGTTTAACCCCTCTGTGCAGCAGCGCCCCCTAATGTCTACAGTGGATATTAAAAGTATCAGCAGCTGTGACTGTATTAGTTTGTGTCGCAGATATGGACCGAAGCTGAAATAAAGCAGTCCTCCACTCCGGTGCAGTACCAGTTTCAACCACCGGGTGGCATCCAGTCCGCCTGAAACGCACCCAAGCTAATGTTAGCGTTTCTAAGCTGACTTATTTTGATAGCTAGATGAGCTCAGAGTGGAGGTGGTAAAAACAGAGTTACAAGAAGGGCTTGAATCAAATATAAAATCTCAGCTTCAGTCATTTTCTTTAGTTGAATCACTCTGAAATAAATGCAAAGTATTCAAACCGGCCAATTCTGCTTCATCTCACAAGCTCCACCCACCTGTTTGTGAGGAGCAGCCAATCAGAAGATACTTAGAGGCTAATTTTATACTGCAAATTATGCAAACAGACTCTATTAGAGTCCAACAATGAAAAAGGAGCTGGAAATGAGCAGAACGGGTCACCTTTAAATCGTGCAGCTGCACTCATGAAGTCATTTAAGTCTCAGGGATTCATTCTGGTCACTTTGGTGCTGCTGTGGGTATCTGAGGAGTTACTAAGCTTTAGACAGAGGGATGTAAAACCTGCAGAGACGCGTTAAAGAAGGTAAACCTGGTCACTCGATGCAACCATGCAACGTCAGGACTGAACCTGGTTGGTGGAGAAAAGACATCAGGTTCCTCTGCCCTCTCCACCTTCTGAGGCTGACTGGGGATGAGACGGAGGAAGAGGAGTGAAAGAGGAAAAACTACGCCTCACGCTAACTACGACCTTTAGAAATCATCTCACAATATTCAGAGAGAAGATCGAGAAAGGCGAAGCTTTCAAATGGGTTTCAGGTAAAGCCGTGCTGAGTGACTTTAGAGTGAACAGCGGTGGAAATGCGGCGCACAGATATAGCAAACGCACTGAGGGGGGCGGGGTTTCCACCTGTACAAAACACCTGACACACTCTGACACAAGCAGAAGATGGAGAATGAGGGTTAAACTGTTCTCAGGTGAGAGACAAACATCATCACATGACAGGAAGAGGACGCTGAAAACAGAGCAGACATCAGCCCGGGGGGTCGGTCAGTATTGTAGCTACTGCATGGTTCGGACGACTCGCTGTGGAAAAGGTCTGAAACCTAACGACGGCTGACAGCGATTCTAATAAAGTCAAATATGAGTAATTTTATGAATAATGTAAATAAAATCGCTGCAGATATGAAGCAGAAACAAGAACGTTAGTGTCGTCTGGGTGACGATGGAATCAGAGGAGGTCGGACGTTGCGATCATCGTTACCTTAGGCGCCGTCTCTGAGGCATCTGCTGATCCAGATCTCTCTGCTGCCGCTCCTCTCTCGTCATCCCCTTATAGTTCGACGTCAGACCGAAGATCGGCCGCGACCACTCGTCTGGAGATGAGAAAGAGTTCAGAAACCGCGGCCCGACAGGGAAACTACAGAAAAGGAGCTTGGCCTTACTGATGAGTTTGAGAGCGAGGTCTTTGTTGGCTCGAGACTCTTTGGGATGTTTGTACAGGAACATGACGGCCCGCCCGATGCCGCTGTGCTTCAGCGTCTCCTGACTCACGCTGGGCAGCTGCAGGACGAAACACACCGTGAACGACTGAATCTTAGAGACGCAGCTGAAGAACGACGCGCCGCGTTCAGCGCTCACCTCCTGTAGTATCCTGAGCAGCTCCTCTCTGATCCTGAGAGCGGGCAGAGATTTGTCAGGAAGAGGGCTGATCCACTCTTTAATGGCCGACATCACGCCGCTGTCGATGAACGTCTCCTTCAAGTCCTGCCTGAGGGACAAACGATAAGAGTCTTCAATGCAGTCACGGAGGAGAAGGACCTGCTTTTTTTTGGCGCTGGTCTCAGCACGTAAGCCTTCAACTATAAGCCAACACGGAGCGCTTACTTCTTCAGGTGCATGACGACCTGCGGCAGCAGCATGAGCTTCTTCAGCGCTGGTTTCTTCTGGCTGTTCAGAGCTCGATCTTCCTGCAAATAAAAACAAATGCACACAGAGTCGGTGAGGATCACAGCTCAGAGTTTTGTGAGGCTTTTATTTTGACAGGGCGAGAGCAGCGTGCGCACCTCCGCAGCCTCGTTCATCTTGGTGATCATGGCGTTGACCACGTCGTCGGCGTCGCTGATGAACGTGCCTCCATCGCGGTGCCGCCTCTTCTTGCTGTTCATGGCTTTCCTCCGGGCGAGCATGATGTCGAAGTCTGACATCATGCTGGTGATACTCTCACACACACACACACACACACACACACACACACACACACTCACTTAATAGCAGAAACAACAACGCTTGTTTAAAATCGTGTTGCTGATCAGCAGACTCACTCTTGGCCGCTGCGGTCGACGCCCTCGTCAGAGTCTGACTCCTCCTCCGCCTGCACCTTCTGCTTCGCCTTGCCGTCGCCCTCCAGGTCCTCCTGATTGAAACCCTGCAGGACAACAGTTTGTGAAACGGGAACTGCTCGCAGCTGATCTCGCTTTTGTCTTTGAACGGAGACGCGACATCGAGGCTTACCGTGAACTCCTCCTCATCTCCAGACTCGCCAAAGATGTCTGCGATCATCTTCCTGCAACAGAACAGGCACATCAGCTCCTGGCAGCCACAGAATTAAACTCTTTATTTTGAAATTAAAACTCTGCATGTGTGTCTTCTTGCAGGGGTGGTAGCTGCCTCCCTCAGGCTGTCCTGTAGGGGGGTTTGAGTTTTCTGCGAGGTGTTTCCACGTCAGCACTCACTCCTCCTGGTCTTCTCCGGAGTCGCTGTCGCTGCCAAACAGCGCTTTCTCGTCCTTGTTCCCCGCCGCCTTCGCTCGGTCGTCCTCCTCGCTCTCGCTGTCTGAGCCGAGCTCTCTCAGTTTGGCCGCCAAACTTTTATCGGGACCCCCGAAGTCGGCGTCACTGTCTGAGTTCTCGTCGTCCGACACCGCCCGGTTCCTCTTCGCCACTGAGGAGACCGTCGAGAGCGACAAACGTCACACAACAGCGCTGCTTTACCTCGCAGCATCAACTTTTACTTTCAGCAGAGAATCCAAACAAAGATCCTGCTCCAGCCGTCAGGTCTGCGTTACCTGGTTTCTCCGCCTTCTCCTCGTCCTCGTCCTCGCTGTCGGACAGGATGGCCTTCTTCCTCTTCACTGCAAACACAAAGCTCACTGGTTACTCACACAGCATCTAAAACGGAACTGAAATATTAACAGAACCGGCGAACGTGGCGGGTGACTCCGTCTGACCACGAACACAACGAGCAGCTCGCCAAAGGAAAGCCTGTGAGAGCACGTGTTTACCATTACTAAAAGTGATCACATGTTCTTTAGTCGGTGAAGCAGGCGTGTGTCACGTGTGTGATCACTGTGGCCCTGCTGGACGGGTACACCTTACCACAGACTTGCTTCACGACAGCAGCGACGTTTACCTCGCAAACCCGGACAGTGTTGGGAAAGTTACTTTGAAAAAGTAATTACTTAAAGTTACTTCTTGAAAAAAGTAACTGAATTACTATATTATCACAGTAACTAATTACTAGGAAAAGTAACTATTGCATTATTAAAAAAACCAAAACAAAAAAAGTTGAACCCTCTCAGAGCGCAGACTTGAAAAGCATCTCGCCTCGTTTCATCCTGTTCAACCTCGCAACCTGTAACCACCACAAACATGGTTAACGGATCATTTTCATAACTCGAAATATAAATTGGACATTTTTAAAACCTTTGCAGCTATTTACCTAAAAATGCAGCCAAGGTGTTTTCATTAAGATGTCACAAATGATTTGTGTCTGTGTCCACTGCACGATGCAGGAGAACGCCACCTGACACCTGCAGCTGTGTCACTCCAGTGTTTACACTGTAATCTGTCTTTTTTTGGCAAAACTGTGACGTTCAGCAGTCACCTCATTGTTCTGACACACAACAAAACTACACACCAACTACACACTCCAAACACGCTAAACGTCACAAATCTCTCACCGCCGTCACTCCTAAAACTCCGCCTTCTTCCTAAACAACCAAATACCATGTTGTCATATCATTTCTTGATTGGTCGACATGGTACATTTTTCCACCAATAGGAAAGGAGTGTTTTTTCCTTTTCTTGGTGCTTTCGAGCTCTTTCCTTAGAAACAGTTTTTGTGTTTCTTCTAAACTTCACCCGCGTACCTGGCTTCTCGTCGTCCTCGTCACTGTCACCTCTCTGCTGCCTCTCCTCTTCCTCCTGCTGCTCTCCATCACTTCCTGCTGCAGCCTTCCTCCGCCCTTCCTCTTCCTCCTCCTCGCTGTCTGACTGCATGACCCCCTTCCACTTCTCCCCTCCTCCTTCCTCCTCCCGTTTCTCCTCCTCATCCGAGTCTATCTGCGCCGCCTTGCGTCTGGCAGGCGTCTCTGTGTCAGAGTCACTGTCAGCGTTGGAGCGGCGCTCTGGGGACGCCGCGGCTTTGGCATCCTCGTTGTCAGAATCGCTTTCTGCCGCCGCTTTGGGCCGCTCCTCCACATCCGAGCTGCTCCCTCTCCGCTTGGGCAGCGGCGACGCCCCCTCCTCGTTGTCAGATGCTCCGTGTTTGAGCGGCGATGAGGCCTCGTTATCTGAGCCGCTCGTCCTGCGTTTCTCTGGCGGCGACTCCTCCTCCTCGGACGCGCTCACCCTGCGTTTCACTGAAGATGAGCCATCCTCATCGTCGCTGTCGGCGGGCCTCGGCGCCTCCGCCTCAGAGTCACTTTTGTCATCACGGCCCCCGGGGCCCTCGCCCTCCGAGTCGCTGTCGGCCCTGCGGCAGTCCTCGTTGTCAGAGCCGCTGGCCCCGCCACCTGTCACCATGGCGTCGTCCTCGTCGTTGCTGCCCTCGTCCTGACAAAAACAAAGAAAGTTTATCAGCCCGATCACGGCGGTCTGCAGACGGTGTTTGTCATATTTACAGTCCGAACAGACCGGAGCCGCCATTGTTCCAGCAAACGTAACAAATACTGACAGCGTCCACATCACTGCAGCTGCAGCACCAATCCATGTGTCGACCTCATGTTTTCCAGCTGTTGCAACATCTGTCTCTCTAACCTGTGACTCTTTCAGCTCCGGTACTGATCAATCACTGACATGCTGGGAAAAACAACACTCTCATAATATCATACATAGAGCTCATCCCACACGGGTCCAAACATGGAAGATCAGCTGTCCATGTCCGTGTAAATCCGCCTGATTTGAAGTATGAATTTCAGGCACTACTTAAAATGCAAAGACGAAACGGCTCAGAATAAACGTTTGAAAACTGATGATGTCAATGAATTATCTGCAGAATCAATGAGATGAATTCTGACCTCAGACCGGCGCCCGGCGCTCCTCATCTCCTCGCCATCTGATGCTGGGTGTTCATCCTGAACCGGCGTGCCGCCTCCATCATCTACAAGAACACATCGTTAAATTCAGTCCTTTTTAAAAGCATTTATAGGAGCTGCAAAAAGTATGCAGTAACTTTACCAAGCTGCCAAAGTAAAACTGAATAAAACTACACAACAGCTTTCTCTGCATTCCCTTCGATAAACTGCCTTTCAAAGAAATAATCGTGCTTTTCAAGGATCATGGCTTATTAGGACTGGATAGAACATATGACAGCAGCAGTGAGAAGTAGAAGATTACACTACAGTCACATCAGAATATCCACCGTTCGGCACATTAACGGTCAAACAGGCTACAGCTTAGGAAACGTTTCTAGTGTTAAAAAGTCTCCGTAATGATCACACGATGTCATCAGCTGGTCTGTAAACAGCTCAAAAACAAACACTTGGATCCTCTACAGCTGCTCGCCAAACTTCACTTTAAAAGTGACTAATTTTAGGTTCATGGCTAACCGCGTGACAAAAACATCATAAAGTCCACCTACATGAGCAGACTTCATCTTTAAGGCTTTCGTATTGATTCGGCTCTCTTTGGTGTATCATGTCTAACCGGTTATATTGATTATGAAACGTTTGTTATGTAATCAGGCCAACAAACACTGATGGTTTAGCTTGGCTCGGTGGAAGGCCGCTTTCTGCCGGGTTCGTGTTGGATGGCTCCGCTGGTTTCCTCCACGGATATAACGTTGAAATATCACCGCGTGTTTCAGTCTTTTGGAGGTAAATGTGACGGAGAGCTCAGGAGATGTTTGCCTGAGACATGTTTCCTGGAAACTGGCGCTGATGCTGTCGCTAACCCCGAAACACAAACAACGATCCCTCCGCGTGATCACAACCCACCTCTGCATCATGTATATCTAGGACGCGCTCATGGTGCTCGAATTCAGTTAGTATTCAGTTAGCTACTACAGTTGGTCAGTACTGTCCTGTTAGTCGTTTAAATAGGAAACAAAGCAGAAGCGTTACCGGAGCGGTTCCCGGACATTAGATCGTCCTCCTCTCCGTCCATTTCCCCGACGAAGAAAGCTTTGAGTTTGGGCTTGAGGGCGGAAACCCCCCTCTGTCCACTGGAAGAAATAAACCTGAACGAAGTAACGACGGTCTGAGGAAGATTACACCCACAGCTAGCCTCTGCTAGCCCACACAGCCAAAATGGTGACTACCTGCATCATATGAGCATGCGCAAAGGGATCGGTCGCTTCCTAATGACGTAAACCGTCTTTTTGGAAAAAAGAAACTTTATTAGTATGACAAATGATTCTAGAAAAAACAATACCAGAACATTGGTCGTGTAAGTATTTTTTATTTATACTGTTTTGATTTTAATTGTACTGCCGAAAGTTTTTCTTAGCTTTGAACCGCGTGACACTGTCTGTTAAAAACTCCAGCTGTAGTGTGACGACTTAGACACGCGCCACAGTCTACAGAAGATCCACGCGGACCCGGAGCTGTCCTGTTTTTTTTCGGCTGGTTTGGTGTGTGTGAGTCCGGTGTGATGGGGGACCGGAGCCGGTTGTGCTCCGTGTGGCTCGGCTCGGAGACCGGGATCCTGAAGGGGGTCAGCCTGTCCCGGAAACAGGCCTTCAACTTCTGCAACACGAGCCACCTGAGCCGAGACCAGGAGGTCCGCGCGCTGTGCTGGGGGGACGCGGCGGAGAGCGAGCTGCTGGTGGGCTGCGTGGACGCCACCGTGAAGACGTTCAGCTTGGAGAAGGGCGCGTTCACCGAGAGCCGGCGCTGCGGGGACCCGGCGGAGGGCTGCTTCTCCGGGCTAGCGGCGCTGGGCGGCGACGCACTGGTCACCTGCGCGGAGAGCGGCGCGCTGCGCGTGTGGAGGCAAGAGGGCGGCGACGAGCCCGTGACACAGGTGGACGCCGGGAAGAACGTGTGCAGGATGCGGCAGAGCCCGGCGAACCCAAACAAGGTGGCCACCGGAGGGAAGGAGAACGGCCTGAAGATCTGGGACCTCCAGAGGCCCGAGCAGCCCGCGTTCAGCGCCAAGAACCTCCGGGACGACTGGCTGGACCTCCGGCGGCCCTACTGGGTCCGGGACATGGCCTTCATCCCGGACTCCGACAAAGTGGTCACCTGCACGGGTTACCACCAGGTGTGTAGCTGTGACTCACCCTCAGCAGGACAAAACGTGTTTTTAAAGAAGACCCATTTAAAGTTTACTTTGGCCCGGGTTAAAGGTCAAGCTTATCACAAACATCTGGTTTGTGTGATCTGTAAACGTTCGTCTGGCTCAGAATTGGCTCGAAAGTCAGACCAGACTCCGTTCAAAAAGTGTTTAATTTTAAGTTTTCTTAAGTCTATGACAAAATTAAAGCTCGTGTAAATCCTCCGCTCTCTACATGTATTATATTTTTTTCTCTAAGTCGGCTAACATTTGAGCAATATTAAAGGACAACAACAAACTGTCTGAGTAAAACAAACTAAGGCTAAAATTATGGATGATTTTATTATCAAAGCCATCGTCAGTTTGGTTTCGGACCGATTCCTCATCAGTTTTCTCTCCATTCAGAAGGTGTTTGATTTAAGGTTTACTTTCTCTTCTCTCATACATTTATGATCTTTAAAATTTCCTCCAGGTTTACAAGTTTAAAGGGATATTCCATAAAATTATTAAGACAAAAACAACACAACTGAAGTTAAAGTTGTGGATAATTTCTAAAGTGTTTCTAAAAAAGAAACAATAATAGTGATTTCCCTTTGAGGTCTTTAGTATCCTCGGTGTTGATTCTTGATCAGTGGAAAAAATGCTTTAGGTGTAAAAACAAATACAATAATAATAATTAAGCAGCAGAAAATAAAGTTTAAATCTGTCAATTGATGACCTGCATTGTTTTTTTGTTTTTTTTAATAAAGTTATGTTGAAACTCTCTCTCAGGTGCACGTGTTCGACCCCTCGTCTCCTCAGAGGCGTCCTGTCCTGGAGGTGGAGTACGGCGAGTACCCGCTCACCGCTATCTCTCTGACGCCTGACAGCACAGCGGTGGCGGTGGGCAACACCCAGGGTCACATCGCCCTGCTGGACCTGAGGAAGGGCCTGGTGCGTGGCTGTGTCAAGGGGCTGGCGGGCGGCGTGAGGGGGCTTCAGTGCCACGCCTCCCAGCCGTTGGTGGCGTCCTGCGGCCTGGACCGCTTCCTGCGCATCCACAGCCTGGAGGACCGCAAACTGCAGCACAAAGTCTACCTGAAGTCCCGTCTCAACTGCCTCCTGCTCGCCAGCCAAGACCTGCAGGAGGGAGGGGCAACTGCAGGGGAGGCGGAGTCTGAGGTAAAGGAGGAGGAAGACGAAGGTGATGATGTGTGGGACGCTATGGAGCGGGTGGAGGAGAGGCAGAAGAGGAAAACGACAGAAGACAAAGAGACAACGAAGAAGAGGAAGAAGGCACAGGACTGAGAGGCATTTGAGGTTTTAGAGGACAGTGGGACGTTTAACCGCCATAGCTGGGGGCTTGTAAGCAGCGTTTATTCAGACTGGAGGCCTTTTATTTTGAAAAGCTTCAGGTACTGGGTAGATGTTTCTCACCTGTGAACAGGTAGAGTCTGCGTCTGCCTGGGGAGACAAATGTATGAGTGCTCTAAAACGTCTTTGTGGTTTTTTATGATTGTAATTATTGAAAATACACGTGTAATTATGATTAAAGGAGTTTCTGCTTCCTGTGTCTGATCAAAGAAGTTAAATGTGCTGACGGAGCATCTCAGCTCCTGAGGAAAAACTGCAGCAGAGGAGAAAACGGTGGAAAAACAATCCAGTTGTAATTCTGTGCAGGGCGCTCAAACATGCGGCCCAGTGGATAAGAATGTGGGGGGAAAGGAGGGCTTCCAGTTTTGTCCTTCTGACCTGTCAGGGTTCACAGCCTTAATGCTAACAAATATTACCCAGACCATTTAAATAACAGGCATGAAAAACTTCCTGTTTTCAGGATTTCAGGAACTCAATTTGAGGTTTTTAAGCGATAAATCTACCCGTGTGACCCACTCAGGATCGGAGCTGCGTGTGGCTCATCGGTCAGTGAACGCAGCCCGAGCTGCCCCTACTAAAGGTGCGTTCACTGGCAGCAGCTGCAGGTCTGAGCAGCACACAGAACTTGTTTTCAGTGTCTGATGGAAACATGGGATGAACTACAGTATTGTGCAAAAGTCCTGAGTCAGCAGCATTTGTTTGTGATTGGCTGAAACAAACAGCCCCAGTTTACTGTGACATGTAAATAACAACAGACCCCTCCCAGCTGTGAACACAGGCCTGTGATTTCACACTGAGCGTGCTCTTAATAAATGAAATGTTCACTCAGCCCATCAGAAACATCAGACTTTATTTAAAACAAAAAAACAGACATTTTGAAATGTTAGGCCACACCCCTTCATTCAGGTAAAGTTTTAGTCCCGCCCTGGTTTTTATTTCCACTCATGGGCTCATGTTTGGATGTTTAATTTTTAAATGTTTTTCAGAGAACAACAAACAGAAAGCATATTATTTTTTACATCTGTGCTCGCAGGTGCGCAGACGGTGGGCGGAGCTTGTGAAATCCACAGGTATGAATTACTGTAGCAAACTGTATGTTTCAAACAGCTGGAGCTCAAAGTGCCGCGTGATTGGTGAGAACAAACATCAGAGACTCTTCTTCAGTGGTTTTATTGAGCAGTAGCATCACAGCAGTAACGAACGGCGTGATTCGACGCGTCCTGCTGTGTCAAACATTCAGTCAGAGACGAGCCTCGCGGCCTCGTTCATTCACACAAACAGTCAAAAACAGATGAGCAGCAAAAGTCTGAAATCCCTTTTGGACACACTGTTAAACGCGGGGCATTAAGGGAGGTTATTAAATTCAACCCTGACGCTTCTTCTTCCTCCCACCGTACATCAGACTTTCAGCGAAGCTCATCACGGCTTCACGCTCCGTCACAGCTCGGTAAAAACGTGGAAACGACAGCCAAATATTTACAGTAACAGCTGAAACGTTTACGTTCACAGACACGTTTTTCTGGTTCCAGTTGTAAATCTTACTGTGAAATACAGCAGAAGACTCGAGGTAATAACTATCGTGCATTTACATGACCTTCAAACGAGGGAGAACTTTGGATCAATTTAATCCGAATTTGTCCCAGAATGTAAAAACATGTTAGCACATAAACGTCACTATATTAAAGATTCACCTCCAAATATGAAACATTTTATTGTTCAAAGGGTTTCAGAGTGTTAAAATATTGTCTCTCGTTTCCCCGTCGTTGTATTTGTTATTACATTAAAGACGTTTCAGTCTAATAAACATCTAAAAACCACGATACCAAAACGTGTCTGTTATTACCCTTCACTGTGCGGTTAGGTCACATGTTACTGTTGTTGTATTTCCTCGTTATTACCAAGCTGGGATGTGAAGTGTTTGGACTTTCAAACAGAGACAGATTAAAACAAAAGGTGGAGGCTGTAGCTCCATCAGCTGTCAGAGCTCAAACAGCACCACCTTTCACACATAAAACGCCTTCATTCCCAGCGATCCGCTCCAGCTTTCGGTGATTCCTATTTTTCGATGCAGGAGCGGAAACATCTGGAAACGTTTTCTGGAACGCTGTCTGAATTGTGAGGACATAAAGTGCTGTTGGAAGTTTTTCAGGACGTGTCAGTGTCTTCACAGTAAATTAGTAATGATTAACTGTGCCCAGCAGGGGGCGCTAGCTGTAACTACATCCTGAAGTAAAGTTGCGTGACTGAGGACAAACCTCTGTAACATTGATCTCCTCTCATGAGAGTTAAGACGTGATTATTCAGATAAAATATATTTAGATTCAATAATATGAGGTTAATATGAGAGGAAATATTTTCAGCTGCACTCGTGGTTATCTGAAGGTCGGTAACGGTTCTCCGTCAACGGTAATCCAAGAAGAAGGTGTCTGAGGTCTTCCTCCTGCGTGGGCTGGTACTCGTGACAGAATAATTTACACTGTTACCGTCACCGCTCTCCATCCTTTCAACACTACCCCTCCTCCTCTTCCTCCGCCCCTCCTCGGCTGAAGTGCCGCCGGCTCAGTCGCTCCGGGTCATGTGACGCCATGTCGCTGAAGTCCCGGAAGATGTCCTGAAACGTCTCATCATCTCCTGAGGACAACACGACAGTCACAAGTTAACAGGAGACATCATGGGAGGAGGCCTGGCCTCTCCCCTGCCTCCAAAGAGCCAATCAACAGAGGAAATATAAGCCAATCAGGTTCACAGGTTAACCCCAACCTAACCCAGGTTCAGCTAAAGGTTCGCGACCATTTCAGAAACTGCGAGCACGCCAAACAGGACTCTGCATCACAGGGAAACAGGGTTGAAAGGTCGAGTTGAGAAAAAGCCGACAAACTTTCAAAGCGTTTTGACGTCTCCGTGACGACGAAAGTTACACTTACAGTTCCTGCTCCGGTCATTAAGAGTGCGCCTTTAAAATAACCAATCAGATTTCACCTAGCTACAAAACTTTGATAAAGGACATAATCTTTATTTTCATTTTTGGACTGCAGCAGCTCTGCGTGACGCTCGTTCAGCCATCTGGTTTCACCTTCCTTCTCAGCTGAAGACAAACGTGAGACAAATGTTGGAGTCGACTAACCCGCGGCGCCGAAGACTCCCTCCGAATCCCTCATCTCCTCGTTCATCCGGGCCATCCGGAGCCTGAAACACACGAGCCATGATCACGTTAAAAGAGTTCACAAAGGAATTGAAAGACTCCGTTATCGGTCGTGTGTTTCCACAGCGCTCTGAAGACCCGCCTCGACCAATCAGATCAGTCCCTTGATGTACGAGAAACTTTATGATTGGACTCTGGTCACGGTCTGAAATGTGAAACGTCACGTGTCGACTTTTTCATACATCAGTGGGCTTTTCTGATCTTCAGGATGCCGTGGAAACAATGTTAAGGCTGGAAACACTTCCTGTGACTCACAGAGTGACGATGTCAGCATTGGCCGTTTCCACGGCGATGGCCAGAGGGTCATGACCTCTCTCGTCCACTGCGTACTGATTGGCTCCTCTCTTCAGCAGCAGGCACACCTGTCTGCAACGGCCAATTAAAACCAGCAGCGTTGATTCGAGCTCATGCTGTGTGTGCGTGTGTGTGTGCATGTCTGTGTTCGTGTGGTTACCCGGTGTGACCAGCAGTGGCGGCAGCGTGCAGCGCCCCCTGTCCTCTAAGGTCTCTGTGATTGACGTTTGCGCCGTTCTGCAGCAGGAACTCGCACGCCAACAGCGACCCCTGCAGGCAGCCGAGAGAAACAGTGAAAGCAACGAAGTTTGTATTCTGTTTACATCACAGCTCTCTAAAGGCTCAGAGTGCAGAAATAATATTACTGGTAATAACACTAATAACAACGATGATGATGTCAGTTAGGAGTCAGTGATGTTATTAATGAGTAATAATCAATAAAAGGTGCCTTCAGTAACATTTCCTCTTCTTTGTGCATGCTCACCCCGATCGCTGCTCCGATCAGCGGCGTGCGGCCCTCCTCCTCGCCAACGCTCCCGTTGACCTCCGCCCCCTCGGCCAACATGGACGCCATGGCAACCAGGTCTCCTGCCAAAGACGCCTGATAGAGACGTAGCATGGCTGAGTCCTTATGACGATGATGCTCTGAAACAGAAAACGCAGAAAACATTTTTTTCTAAACACAATAAATTTAAATTAGTGCTGAAGCGCAACAGGACGCCGTAACACGCCGATGCGAGCACTGACAGAGGAAGCCAACCACACAGCTGTCGTGCACGGGACAGGAAGTGAACAGACGGGTGCTGCAGCAGAGAGGCGTGATGGGTCAGGTGTTACAGGGGGCAGTGAGGCTCAGAGCAGCGGCAGGAACGAATCCAGCAGTAAAATGTAAAAGTAATAGATTACTGCAGTGATGAATGCGCTGATAAGGTATCGTTCCAGTTTAAACAAGCTTCTTAAATTCTAGTTACAATGTGCAGACGGTCGGACTTACGAGCGCCGTTGGCCTGGACAAACTTCTTCTCCACGTATTTCTCTTTGATCCACGCCTCCTTCTCGGCCCTGAAAGGGAGAAAAACAGGACGCTGAGTCTCTGCTTCCAACATTCACGTTCAACCAAAGCCGATTCCTTTCAGCGGCTCGTGTTTTTACCGCGGGCTGTCGGCTCGGGGCTTGACTCGTCCCTCCTCTGAACATCGCGCCTCGTAGATCTGGTTCATCACATCGTTTCCCAGAACGCACAGCAGCTGAGGAGGAGCATTCACATTTTAGAATCTGGGCCTGCGATCGATTCTTCATTGATTTTTTTTCAACGTCAGACATGAGCAGCACTGTGAGAGTCTCCCGGTTAGACTCGGGACAGGTGAAGGCAGTTTGGGCTGTTCTGGGATCAGTTTGGTGGGTTTTCAAACATAAAGATCCAGAGAAGCCGGGAACTTCTTGTGTTATTTTCCACAACAGCTGATTGCCTTTTAGAGACTGTTTAGAGCAATTTCCTGAAATGATTCAATGACCGAGCAGCGATTTGTCGGCTTGTTATTAGTTCAGGGTGTTTGGTTCACACAGAGGCAGAAATCTGATTTTCTCGTTTCTCCTCGTGGCGTTATATTTGACAGCTTCCTCACTTTACGGTCTGCTCTTCACTTTATGATGCCGGAGTGTTAAAGCTTCAGTGCAGAGTGTTTCGCTTCTACCTTCAGCTGTTCGGCCTCCCAGGAGTCCAGAGTGAGAGATCGCACCTTCGACAGATGGACTCCGAGGCTCCTGCAGACACAGAGAAAGAAGAACATCGGCCAACGTGTTGCTGGTTTTCATCTTCTGACAGTAAACTATGAAGATCACCAAACACCAGTGAGTACTTCTCATGGTTCCCACAGGCTGTGTGTGGACAGAGAAGGTTGATGAAAGATCAAAGGGCGAGATTAAAGCCTGACACCTGCTAAAAAGCAGTGAAGAAGAAATGAGGAGGAAGTCCTCCTGAAACCTGGGCTGTTACCGGTGTATGCCCGAGCACTCGATGCACATGGTGACTGCCAGGTTGATGGAGGCCCAGCGAGGCTCTTCCTCCCCGCAGTCACAGCACCTCTGGTTCCCAAGGCCCCTCAGGGCCACGCTCAATGCTGCCGGCCTCTGGGCGGGAGGGCCCGGACAGACGTCCCCGCCACAATGCAGAGGGGGGAGCTCCTTAGGCTGCACATAGAGAGGAAGAACTCGTCAGCCAAATGGATGGGGGAGGGGAGTTAGCTGTAATATTCAGAGGTGAGTGTATCGTGGTCGTGGTGTGGACCGGCCTGCGTCAGCTGAGTGTCGCTTCGCTCTCTGTAGGCGAGGTCGATGCTGCCCTGCAGAGCACTGAGCCAGGCCTGCTTCAGCTGCTCCGAGTCGGCCTGCAGAGCACAACACCTGGAAACAAACAGGTCAATTAACGCCATATCACATGACCCTACAGGTGTGAAAACGCCGTGTTCACTGTCTTACTTCTGGACGGAGAGCAGCTCAAAGCAGAAGCGTCGGTCCACGTGATCCAGAGATTTGACAGCACACAGTCGAAGATCCTCAAACAGAACCACAGCTTCCTCCTGCGGCGTGGGATTCAACATGACTCGTCATCATGATCCTCAGCAACATCACCATCCTCAGCAACATCACCATCATCACCATCCTCACCATCCTCAGCAACATCACCATCACCATCATCATGATCCTCACCAACATCACCATCATCATCATCCTCACCAACATCATCACCATCCTCAGAAACATCACCATCACCATCATCATGATCCTCACCAACATCACCATCATCATCATCCTCACCAACATCATCACCATCCTCAGAAACATCACCATC